CAAGCAGCGGTGGGGCAACGGTGGGACGCAACGACGCAAACGAACGCGCGGACGCAGAATGGGAAGACGAGGGCCCCGAGACACAAAAGTCTCGGATTTGCACCTGCATCCAGGACCGGGCGGGGTGGGGCGGGGCTCTCGGGTGGATGTTCACCCGACCTCTTCACTCCGGCGCCCTGGTACTGCCAGGGACCCCCGCCTCGATCCTCCGTGAAGCCACAGGGCGACCGAGGACGAGCCGCACTGATTTTCGCTCCCCCTGGCCTGCTGCTGCTCCCGTTCCTCCCGCCGCCGTCTTGTCCTCGCTTCCTGCGCCGGGCTTGGCTACGACCCGTCATGCCGTCATGCTCCGACCGACCGAGGATGAGGAGAAGGATGGAGGGCCAGTGAACCCATGACGCATCAACGATGTTGCAATCAACCCTCCCTCCAAGCTTCCTTTTCACAGATGCCAGCGAAAATGTACTCTCACTGCAGGAGCCGCCCCATTGGAAGGCACACGTCTGAGAACCTTTTTACATGACACAGCACCACTCCTGGGACTTCAACGCCACGAATCAAAGTTGCTGTTGCGCCCTGACACGAATGGCGCCAGAACGTCATTCCTGGGACTTCAACACTTCGAATCAACGTTCTGATGGACTCGAATCGCACCAGAACACCGTTCCTGTGACTTCCACCACTCGAATGTTCGAAACTGCTGCAAATGTGTAACACGAATGCGCGCGGCGCTAAGGCGAGAGCCACCCTTTGAAAAGAAAGCGCCATCTATACGTGAAACTGTTGCAAGCGTCCAAAACGAATATTCGCGGCGCAGAGGCGAGAGCCACACTTTTGAAAAAGAACCGACCTACATCCGTGAAACTCTTACAAACTTTTAAGACGAATGTGCGCGGCGCCAAGTCGAGAGCCACATTTCAAAAACGGCCCGCCCTCCATCCGAGAAACTCTTGCAAACTACATATTGACGCGGCGCTGAGACGAGAACCACATGTTGTAAAGGAACCGCCCTCCATCCGTGAAATCCCCCGGCTAACTTTTAAAACAAATGCGCGCAACGCCAAGGCGACAACCAAATTTTGAAAACGGGCCGCCCTCCATCCGTGAAACTGTTGCAGATTTCAAGCTATGGTGAAGAAGTATCAAGCGGACACGCCTCGGGGCGTGGCAGGGAGGAAGTGTGAGGAGAAGGAATGGAGGAAGCCGAGGAGGACTCTAAAAACGACAACCTTCCCTCTGGGGCGGAAGGTCACCAGGTGGCCGGACATTCCAGGAGCCGCCACCAGAGAAAGGAGGAGGGGGAGGGGGATTAGGTTTTGGAGGAGGAGGGGGAGGAGGACGAGGAGGGAGGAAGAGGAGGAGGAGGAGGAGGAGGAGCAGGAGGAGGAGGAGAAGGAGGACGAGGAGTGGGAGGAGGAGAGGAGGAGGAGGAGGAGGAGGAGGAGGAGAAGGAGAAAGAGGAGGGGGAGGAGGAGGAGGGGAGGAGGAGGAGGAGGAGGAGGAGGAGGAGGAGGAAGGAGGAGGAGGAGGAGCAGCAGCAGCAGCAGCAGGAGCCCACTGACGGAGCGCGCGCGGCGCTGCAGGGCCGCGGCGGGGCGCGGGGCCCCTCCTCGACGGCCTTGGCGATCGTGACGCGGCCCTTCGCCCCGTCCTCCAGGGCCGCCCGCCGCATCTGCGCCCCCTCCCGCAGCGCGGCGGCCCTGCAGCGGGCGCGGGGTCCTCCTCCTGCTCTCCTCCTCCTCCTCCTCCTCCTCCTCCTCCTCCTCCTCCTCCTCCTCCTCCTCCTCCTCCTCCTCCTCCATTCCTGCTCCTTATAGATAACTTCCCCCTGTCGCACCCCGAGGCCAGTTCTTAGGACGGGCCGGGCGTTTCGCCTAAGACTTCCTCACAACAGTTTGACTCTGAAGCTAAAAATGTGACAACGGTTTCACAGATGTAGGGCGGGTCGTTTTCAAAATGTGGCTCTCGCCTTAGCGCCGCGCACATTCGTTGTTTTCAAAAACTGCAAGAGTTTCACGGATTGAAGGCGGGTGGTGTTCAAAATGTGGCTCTCGCCCTAGCGCCGCGCACATTCGTTTTAAAAATTCGGAAGAGCTTGACGGATTGAAGGCGGGTGGTTTTCAAAATGTGGCTCTCGCATTAGCGCCGCATACATTCGTTTTTGAAATTTGCAAGAGTTTCACCTAATGAGGGCGGGTCGTTCTCAAAATGCGGCTCTCGCCTTAGCGCCGCGCACATTCGTCTTCAACATTTTGCAAGAGCTTCACGGATTGAGGGCGGGTCGTTTTCAAAATGTGGCTCTCGCCTTAGCGCCGAGCACATTCGTTTTCAAAATCTGTAAGAGTTTCACGGATTGACGGTGGCTCCTTTCCAAAACGTGGCTCTCGCCTTAGCGCCGCGCACATTCCTTGTAAAAAATTCCAAGAGTTTCACGGATTCCCATAATCACCGTACCAGAAATGGCACTTTGGAAGGATTCAGGATTATGCGGGCGCAACAGTTATGTTGATTCGCGGCGTTGGAATGACAATAATGACGTTCTGGCACGATTCCGGATCGTCAAGACGCAGCAGTCAGGCTGATACGTGGCGTTGAAATCCCGAGAACGGTGTTTTGGCACGCTTCAGGAAATTCAAACGGCTGTCTTCCAACGAGGCAGTTCCCTCAATGGAAATGAACCGCTGTAGGGGCCTATGAAGAGGGAGCTTGGAGGGAGGGTTGATTCCAACATCGTTGATGATTCTTGGGTCTACACTGGTCCTCCTCCTCCTCCTCCTCCTCCTCCTCCTCCTCCTCCTCCTCCTCCTCCTCCTCCTCCTCCTCCTCCTCCTCCTCCTCCTCCCTCCTCCTCCTCCTCCTCCTCCTGAAGGGGCAGAGGAGAGAGGTGAGGTGCAACAGTAGGGGAGGGGGGCGGGGCAGCTCGGGGGAAAGACGCCGGCCCGGGAGCGGCGATGCACCGCCGAGAGGTCTGCAAGAGGCCCCCGCTCGATGGCGAGGCCGCGCGCTCCCGGGCGAGGCGGGCCCTCGGGCCCCATGTCGGCGATCGATGGGCGATCGAGGGTCCACGCAGCCCCCCCTGGGCCTATCCCCCCCCGAGCGTTGCCCCTGAAGGGAGCACGGGGGGGGGGGATAGGAGCACGGATTGGTTGTGCTCCTCCAGCTTCGCCGAGCGTGCCGGCATCGGAGGAGCTTCTGCCCGCTGGTCTCTCGACCGAGCGACGAGGCCGACGTCTTCGAGAGCCCCGCTCTCGAGGGCGGCCTCCCTCCGCCCGGTGCGGGGGTGGAAGCCACGTTCGAGCAGCGCAGGTGGCACCATGGGGAACCTCCCCACCGTCCACCGCCCTCTCGCTCCAGAGCCAGCCCGTTGGAAAAGGCACCCTCCCACTCTCTGGGCGTTGCCAGAGGTGGCCCTGGCCCAAGGTGCCCCCAGGATCTCCAAGGAGGCCCCCACGGCCTCCAGAGCGCCCCTCGCGAGGCTCAGAGGACCCAAGCAACTCCGGGATGGAGCGACAAGCTGGGGGCGCCTCGAGCCAGGGGCACCTTTGGCAACCCCCCAACTCTGGCGGGGGGGGGGGGGGGGGGGCGAACGGTGATGCGGCAGTGGCGTTCCTGCCTTGGCCACTGCCAGGCCATCGTGCTCGCTTCGTGCTCGTGCCCTCTCCTCCTCCTCCTCCTCCTCCTCCTCCTCCTCCTCTCCTCCTCCTCCTCGCCTCCTCCTCCTCTCCATCCTCCTCCTTCCTCCTCCTTTTCATCCTCCTCCTCCTCCTCCTCCTCCTCCTCCTCCTCCTCCCTCCTCCTCCTCCTCTCTCCTCCTCCTCCTCCTCCTCCTCCTCCTCCTCCTCCTCCTCCTCCTCCTCCTCCTCCTCCTCGGCTCAGCCAGGGGGTTCGCCAGCGACCCTGGCACGGTTATCCAGAGCCTCTGAACCCATGTCCCAGAAACGAGACGTTTCTGGATCAGCTCCGAACAGAAATCCAACCTCCGAGTAAAAGGTAGAGAAGGACGGGTCTGCATGCAGAGATGTGTCCCAGTCAGCACTAGCTCATCCTCTACGTCTGGTGGGTGCCCAGAAGCATCGCCCTCCAAGGGTCTCCAGCAGCGGGGGCCTTGGAAGAAACGGCATCTGATAATAAATGCACAGTGGGAAGACCCGTCCCCTCTCACATCGCCCATCCGCGCGCCGCTGTATCTGGGACCCCCGACATCCTTTGATATTCCCTTCGTCTGATGTCTCCATAAGTCGTGATTAGAGTCTCTCTGCGGGGGGCACCAACCCATGCGTCAGTCTGACTACCCGTTGTCTCGAATTCTGCGTGAGGCGCAACAACCACACTAAAATGTAACAAATTGTATTAGCGAGTTGTTTTGTATACAAGGGTACTGGTAGGACCAATCGGCAGGAGACACAAAAGCAGGTAAAGGATATAAGAGGTAGGGAGGGATGAACACACGCATATCTGGCAGCCTCAGATTTCATAGCTTTTGAGGGTAGCACGCGCCAGTACAGAACTGACCCCACCCGAAAGACCAGGACCAGAGCAGACTAAAGCAGAACAGGCCAGGATAGAACAGGCCAGAAAATGAAAGATCTGAGCAGGACAGATCAGGGAGATAAGACCATGGATAGGAACAGGACTGGAAATGCTGTAGGCTTTATGGTTGACGCGCGTCTGCACCTCCTGATGCGGTCTGATCCTGCAGCTTCGAGCCCTCTGACTCCCACGAGCCCTGGTTCCCATGATCGGTTGCCTGCTCCTGCAAATGGAGGGTGCGCCGTGGAAACGATCCACTTTCTTTGTCTCGCGTAAAGATAACGATCCGCTGTGCTCAGCCTACGCTTAAGCCTATAATAGGCCGATGCGTAAGCTATAAAAGGGCCTACGGCGCATGAGCCGGCAAGCCTTGCAAAAGCCCATCGATTGGCCGATGATTAGGATATCAGCAGGCTTCGCATGGGCCTGCAATAGGCCGATCGATAGACTACGCATAGGCATGTGACAAGCCAATCGGCAGGCTATGCACAAGCCTATGGCAAGCACATGGGCAGGTTGTGCATAGGCCTATCGCGGGGCGCCGGCCCTTCCGTAGACCGTACGGCAGGCCTATGCGCAGTCTGTGCAAAAGCCCATCGCGGGGCGCCAGCCCCTCCGGAGGCCCATCAGAAGCCTACCACAGGACTGTGCGTAGCCTGTGCACAAGCCTATAGACTGTGCAAAGGCCTACACGGAACACCTACACCTCCAGAGGCCCCGCATAAGCCTACCACAGGCCTGTGCGTAGCCTGTGCACAGGCCTTTGGTAGGCCCATGCGCAAGCTGTACATGGCCTATCGCGGAGCGTTGGTCCCCCTATAGGCCCACCAAAGGCCTACCACAGGCCTGTGCATAGCCTACGCGTAGGCCTATGGTAAGCAAATGCATAGGCTGTGCATAGGCCCATGGCGAGGCGCCGCCCTCCCTGGAAGCTCACTGGAGACCGATCCATTAGAGGTCGATGCGCAGGCTGTGCAGAGGCCTATTGCGGGGTTTGTTCACAAACTGCGCAAAAACCGATTGTAGGCCTACGCATAGGTTGTGGTAATCCCCACGATGCATGGGCCAGCAGGCCCCTGTGAAAGACTGCCGATAGACCTACGATAGGCCTATAGGCAGGCTATGCGCAGGCCTGTCGTAGGCCTACGCATAGACGCTGTATAGGGCTATAGTAGCCCTATGCACCGACTGTAGTGAGGCCTATGGCGCATGAGATAGTAAGCCTATGCGCAGCCTGCCGACTGGCCTACTAGAGGCCCACCTATAGGCGACCTCTAAGCCTACCATACGCCTAAAGGCGGGCTGCGCATAAACCTTTAGCAGACCTGTGCGCAGGCTACGCATAGACGTACAGGAACCCAGAATAGCCTGTGCATAGGTCATCGCCCAGATTGCTTATTGTTCGCGCTTCCTCCTACTCAGGCGGTGGTCAAACAAAGTCCTGGTCCCATCACGCCGACCGATCTGTCGGTGAGCGCCTGGCCCGTGGCTGCGTGGACCACCCCCTGCACCAGAAAACGAAACATAGAAGCAAGCGCGGGGACAAGCAGGGCCCCTCACCTGACAGCTCGTTGACCAAAACCAGATCTGGACGGGGCCCTCTGGGATGACTGCGGCGCCCTCGAAAGGCTCTCTACGAGGCGCAGCGGCTAGAGCACGTCCTGGAGCTCGAGGGGCGAGAGCGCCCAACTGCGAAAATTAGCCTGACGAAGGACCCAACCATATGCAGGTGTGAGTACCGCAATTGTGACTCACTTTTCGGTGGTGATCCCTATGAGGCAACGAACCGTGCTAGGGGTGTGCCGAAATGACTGGCGTGGTACACGACGCGAACGAAAACGATTGATCTGAGTACGTAGGGAGACTGAGCGCGAGTGAATCTGAGCGCGAACGCGTCTGACTGTGACTGAATCTGCGTGCGAGCGAGTCTACGTGCATGATCGCGAGTATGACAAAGCATGGTGTAATTGTATATGCATGTCAATAGTTTGAGAACGACTGTCTCTGAATACTCGTGACGCTGGGCGTGGCCGCCGCAAGAAGCTTCCCCGGGACTCCCCACGATGACGCTGTACTGGGCCCGAAATGAGTGGCGGGGACGCATGCGGACTGTGCCACGGGGACCTTCGGCGGAGCTCCTATGGGGCCACGAAACGTGTGAGGGGTGGGCCGACATGAATGGCGGGGACGCATGCGGACTGTGCCACTGGGACCTTCGGCGAAGCTCCTATGGGGCCACGAAGCGTGTGAGAGGTGTGCCGAAATGAATGGCGGGGACGCATGCGGACTGTGCCACTGGGACTTCGGCGGAGCTCCTGTGGGGCCACAAAACGTGTGAGGGTGGGGGGCGAAATCAGTGGCGGGGACGCATGCGGACTGTGCCACTGGGACCTTCGGCGGAGCCCCCTATGGGGCCACGAAACGTGTGAGGGGTGGGCCGAAATGAATGGCGGGGACGCACGCGGACTGTGCCACCGGGACCGTCGGCAGAGCTCCAATGGGGCCACGAAACGTGTGAGGGGTGGGCCGAAATGAATGGCGGGGACGCATGCGGACTGTGCCTCTGGGACCTTCGGCGGAGCTCCTATGGGGCCACGAAACGCTGTACTGGGTGGGGGAGACGCATGCGGACTGCCCTACGGGGCAACGAAACGTGTGATGATGTTGCTGATGCGAATGTTGATGATGATGATGACGACGATGATGACGATGACGATGACGATGACGATGACTATGACGATGACGATGACGATGACGATGACGGTGACGACGATGACGATGATGATGATGATTTTCCTGGACGTTAGGACCAACATCTGATATAAAAGACATTGCGTACAATGAAATCAGACTTCAAAGATCCGTCGCAGAGAGCCAAGTGTCCCGCGTTGCCCCGCATGGGCCGCGCTGCCAGGGTGCTGCGCAGAGGGGCCTCCTGCGCAGCGCACGCCGAGCAACGTGCAGGTGCTAGCTGAAAAGATGTTCCGCCGCTTCGTCTTCGGCGACTGTATCGAACTCGGGTGGGGCCTCCGCCTCGATTAGCTCCTGTGATGGCACGGCAGGAGGATGGGGTGGAGGCACGACGGAGGAGGGAGGGTACATGACCGTGACCGTGCCGCTGCTGGCAGGGAGGACTTCGCCTCGAACAACAAAGACACGGCGCTGAATCGCTTCCTCTCCCCTGCTGCCTGCATCGTGCCATGCAGGCTCATTCTGGCAAAAAGATGGGCTCACTGCTCGAGGGTCTCCAGCCAGTGACCGACCTCTTCCTCGAGCCAGCCCGCTGGGGCCACGCCTCTGTGGTGGACCGCTTGGCCCTCGGCCTCGAGGGCACGGCTGATCAAGACTCGGCCCTCCCACGTGGGCGCGCCGACCACCAGTTTCGTCTTGGTGTCGTCGTAGCACTTCTCCAGGCGCACGAAGGAGATGACGTCGAGGAGATCCTCCTTGCTGATCTCGGCCTCCGCCTCGATGTCCTCGGGCTCCGCTCGGAGCAGGTAGTTGCAGATGGCCCCCTTCATGGATCCGCCCACGTCGCACTTGTGCAATCCCTCCAAGGCCGCGAGCGCGAGGGACGGGGCTGGGGATCCTATCTCCTGCAAGCGTTGTTTGTCCTCTGGGGTGCCGCTCTTCCTGAGGGAGTCCAGGAGTCCAAGGTGTGCTTGTAGCCCTCTAGCTCCTGCGTGATGGCTATGATCACTGGACGCTCGTTGCTCATCGTGTAGGTGTCCGTGTTGATGCTGCTGTTCAGCCTGGTCTTGTGTGTCGTCTGGAGCAGCCGCTTCAGGGTCGACCGTAGCAAGTCCATCAAGTTTTTGTCCTTGCTGCTCCAGGCCTTGGGGTTGTGATTGCCGCGGCGCCCGCGGCGTCCTCCACGGCGAGCTGGGCGTCGGCTGGGCTGGTCGGTCTTCCTGTCCCTCTCGCCGTTGTCTGATGATGATGATGATGATGATGATGATGATGATGATGAAAGGAGGGGAGGAGGGAGGAGGAAGGAGGAAACGTGGGGCGCTGTCTCTTCAAAACGAGGACCCAACACCACAGGATGGTTGGGAAAAAACTCAAGCTGTCCTGATGCTCTCCAGGTCGTCTTCCAGCACGCGGGTGACCAGCCGCTGCCAGCGCCCCCTGGTGTCGACGTGCGCGCGCCAGCGATGCACGAGGATGGCGACCTCGGCAGGCGGGCCTCTGTCCCTCCGCCTGCCTTCCAGAATAGTGAGCGAGAGGAGAAGCGGCAGCGAGCAACGAACTCTAGAATGCGCACATGCGTACATACCGATGCAAATGTGTATATACATATATACATGCACACGCATACACACATGCACATGCAGTCGTAAGTACATGCATACATACATGCATGCATGCAGACGTACATATAGGCAGACATGCATAGGTGCATGCATGCATGCATGCATGCATGCATGCATGCATACGTACATATAGGCATGCATGCATAGGTGCATACGTGCATACATAGATACTTACATGCGTGCGTGTGTATGTACATCAGTATAAGTAGGTATACATACAGACAGACAGACAGACAGACGGGCAGACAGGCAGACAGGCGGACAAATAGGCAGACAGGCATGCATATATATACACACACATATACACATACACACAGACATACATGAGTATGTACGTACGTACATGCATACATATATACATGTACACGCATACACACACACATACATATATATGCATATATGCACGCATGCATGCATGCATATCTATATATACATACAAAGACACATACCTACATACATACATACATACATACATACATACACATACACATACACATACACATACACATACACATACACATACACATACACATACACATACACATACACATACACATACACATACACATACACATACGCATACACATACCTGCATACATGCATACATGCATACATGTGTGCGAGCGTACATACATACATACATACATACATACATGTACACACGCATACACACAGATGCACACACATGCACACATATACGCAAACACACATATACACATACGTATATGCATACATACATATATACATATGTATATATGTGTGCATTCATATATACATATGTATAAACATATATATGTATATATATACATATATATATATATATATATATCCGCCGGCCCCCTTGTGGGGCCACCAGGCTGTAGGACGAAGGTTCGCAGTTTCCTGTACCAGTTGCAGCTTCCAGTTTCCACTGTTACAGTTCTGCTTCTTGCTGCGTACTGTTCCTCGTTACAATTATGCTTCTTGCTGCTTACTGTTCCTTGTGTTGATGGACCGCGCGAGGGGGGGAGGCCCAAAACGGATACTTTTACCACGCCCTGAGCGTGTTGTCTGAAATGCTGGGGTGTGTAAAAATTGACACCCCTCACGCAGATCGGCGGGGTCAGGGTCCAAAAAACATAGGGGATTTGCCACATTTCTGAAATTCGGTGGCACCCCTCACGCAGATCGGCGGGGTCAGGGTCCAACAACACCGGGGATTTGCCACATTTCTTAAATTTGCTGGGACCCCTCACGCAGATCGGCGGGGTCAGGGTCCCTCCTCCTCCTCCTCCTCCTCCTCCATCCTCACCCTCCTCACCCTCCTCCTCCTCCTCCTCCTCCTCCTCCTCCTCCTCCTCCTCCTCCTCCTCCTCCCTCCTCCTCCTCCTCCTCCTCCTCCTCCTCCTCCTCCTCCTCCTCCTCCACCACGACCACATCATCATGATCATCATCATCATCATCATCATCATCATCATCATCATCATCATCATCATCATCATCATCATCCTCATCCTCATCCTCATCCTCATCCTCATCCTCATCATCATCATCATCATCATCATCATCGTCATCATCATCGTCATCATCATCAGCATCAGCATCATCATCAGCAGCAGCATCATCACATCATCATCCAAATACTCATCCTCATCATCATCATCATCATCATCAGAAGCATCATCAAAAGCAGCAGCATCGTCAGCATCAGCATCATCAGCATAAGCATCATCATCATATTCTCCATCAACAGCATCAGCAGCATCATCATCTCCATCAGCATCAGCATCAGCATCATCATCAGCAGCAGCATCATCAGCACCATCAGCATCATCATCATCATCATCATCATCATCATCAAAATCATCCCCATCAGCATCATCATCACAATGATCATCATCACCATCATCAGCATCATCAGCATCAACATCAACGTCAGTACCACCACCATCAGCATCGGCGTCATCTTCATCATCAGCATCATCATCATCATCACGATCAGCATCATAATCGTCATCATCGTCACTATCATCGGCAGCATCAGCGTCATCATCATCATCATCATCACCATCATCATCAGCATCATCGTCAGCATCAGCATCAGCATCATCAGCAGCATCATCAGCATCAAAATCATCATCATCATCATCATCATCATAATCATCATCATCATCATCATCATCATCATCATCATCATCATCATCATTATCGTGATCACCATCAGCAGCAGAATCATCAGTATCAGCATTACCATCGTCATCATCGTCAGCATCATCATCATCAACAGCATCATCATCAGCATCCTCATCGTCATCATCCTCATCACCGTATGGTTATCAGCATCATCATGCCCACCTTCGCCATTGCCATCGCCATCACCATCACCATCACCATCATCATCGTCATCATCACCACCAACACCACCAGCATCATCATCAGCATCGTCATCATCATCATCATTAGCATCATCATCATCATCGTCATCATCATCAGCAGCAGCATCATCATCAGCAGCAGCATCATCACATCATCATCCTCATCCTCATCATCAAAATCATCGTGATCAAAAGCAGCAGCATCACCGTCAGCATCAGCATCAGCATCATCAGCATCAGCATCGTCAGCATAAGCATCATCATCATATTCTCCATCAACAGCATCAGCAGCATCATCATCTCCATCAGCATCAGCATCGGCATCATCATCGGCAGCAGCATCATCAGCATCATCAACATCATAATCATCCCCATCAGCATCATCATCATCATCATCATCATCATCATCATCATCATCATCATAATGAGCATCATCACCAACATCAGCATAATCATCAGCATCAACATCAACATCATTACCACCACCACCATCAGCATCGTCGTCATCTTCATCATCATCAGCATCATCAGCATCATCATCATCATGATCAGCATCATCATCGTCATCATCGTCACCATCATCGGCAGCATCAGCGTCATCATCAGCAGCAGCAGCATCATCATCATCATCATCAGTATCATCATCAGCATCATCATCGTCAGCATCAGCATCATCATCATCATCAGCATCATCAGCAGCATCATCATCTTCATCATCATCATCATCATCATGATCATCATCATCATCATCATCATCATCATCATCATCATCATCATCATCATCATCATCGTTATCGTCATCATCATCATCATCAGCAGCAGCAGAATCATCATTATCAGCAGTATCATCTTCATCATCGTCAGCATCATCATCTCCATCAACAGCATCATCATCATCAGCATCCTCATCATCATCATCATCATCCTCATCACCGCCGTCATGGTTATCAGCATCATCATGCCCACCTTCGCCATTGCCATCGCCATCACCATCACCATCATCATCATCATCATCACCACCAACACCACCATCATCATCATCATCAGCAGCAGCAGCAGCATCGTCATCGTAATCTTCATCATGATCATCATCAGCAGCAGCAGCGGCAGCAACATCATCATCATCATCATCATCATCAGCATTACCACCGTCATCATCATCATCATCAGCATCATCATCATCATCCTCGTCAGCATCATCATTATCAGCATCAGCATCATCATCATCATCATCAGCATCAGCATCAGCATCCGCATCATCAGCATCATCATCATCATCCTGATGCCCTGCCCCCAGCGTGTTGCTCTCGGTCATGAGCCTCTCCAGTCCAAGAAGGCTGTGCATGTATCTCTGGACCCGCCGGTATACCTACATATACATATGACTAAGTGCACATATACACAATATATACACATATATGTATACGTATATGTATATATATATATATGTGTGTGTATTCATCTGTGTGTATAGATATGTATATATATGTGTGTGTGTGCGTACGTGGCCCGGTCCGGCTTGCGAACCCGAAGGATACTCCTGGCACTCCAGAGCTCAGAAAACGCGTTCTGAGAGGTCAAACGCCTCACCCCACTGCCGCGCACGTGGCGGCGCTCGCCTAGCGCACACGGCATGGAGAGCGATGGCGCAGCCTTACAACGGCAGGCTCCGCAGCACAATGGCAGGGGGGCCTTCGCTTTCCACATCTCTGTGACCATCAGCCCGAAGAACACCGTGATCACGGAATGCGGGAACATCCACCAACTGTCCAAGAGGCTGCGCTTATTTCATGCCTCCGGCCATGAATGTGACCCCCAGCAGCATGATGCCCCCCAAGAAATATCACACTCTTCGCTCTATGCCCACATCCGCCACCGTACATTCGGCACGCTTGGGGCGTGCCTGAAGCCCTTCTCAGCTGGCTGGCAAGGTTTCTGCTAAGCTCTAAATGTAATTCCTCCCCTTAGCACACGGAGACCTCGCCCCGAAGACGAGCCAAAACCGTCCCAAAACACGGTCTTGAGAGCCAGCCCGACGGCCCCTACATAAACTTACACAAGCCCAAGGGCCCCGAAAGGCTCCAAGATGTCCCCTTGAAGCCACAAGAGGCCCCACGGAGCCCCTAGGATGCGCTCAAAGAGGTCTCAAGAGAAGCCTCGGGAGACAAGAAACTAAAAACAGATGAATCCAAATGGTCTTCCTTCCGATAGTTAGTTGTTCGGTTCAAGGTAACCCCAAGAAGCCTCCAAGACGGCCCCAAGACAGCCTGAGAATCCCCCCCAAACGACCCCAGACCGCCCCAGGAAGGACCCAAAGACTCCCCCCAGACCCGCCCAGGCGACCACAAGATCTTCCAACCGAATCCCTCATGGCGAGCTCGGTCGCCCAAGACGGCCCAAAACCCCAAGCAGGCCCCCAAGAGGCGCCCAGGAGGCCACGAAGAAAGCCACCGAAGGAGCCTCCAAGAAACCTCCTGGAATCTCCCAAAACGCAGCGCAACAGCCATGCCGAGCCACGGGCTGCGCCACAGGACCGCGGGGCCGCCTCCCAAGCAGCACGGGCACGGCTCTGCCGAGCCTGCTCGGAGACCTCGGTGGAGCCGCCCTGGCTGCATCTCGATGCTGCGCTGGCACGGTGTCGAGATTTGCCGCAGGCAGCTGACTACAACATGGTGCTCAGCCGCGCAGAGAAGTCCAGCGCAATGAACAAAAAAAGGCCGAGACATCGCAGTGACCACAACAGCAACATAGAGGCGGCGGCTCACGGCCGCGAGCGCTCGGGAAAATAGAAGAATCACAAAAAACATGAGCATCAACTTTCAGAGGTCCGCGCTGCAAGGCCGATCCAAGAAATCTGCTCGGAGCTTTGAAAATTCCTGTTTACGCAATGTTCCCCAAACAGTGTTTGTACTCACGGCTTCTTACTTGATCTAAAAAGGCATAGGCCTGGACGTCGGTTCGGCCGGTTGGTTGTCGCCGTCGCCGCCCCTATCACCGCCTCGTCGCCGCCCCTCTCGTTGCACCCCCCCCGTTCGCATCGCAAGTTCCGCATCGCAGTACTATGCTTCGCATTGCCTTGCATTGCCTTGCATTGCTTCGCATTGCTACGCATTGCTCTACATTGTTTCGGGCTGCCTTGCACTGACTCGCACTGCTTAGCAGTACGTTTTACGTGATTTGCATTGATGTGGATTGGGTTGCCTTGTTTTGCATTGTTTGGCCTTGCGCTGCACTGTTTCGTATGCGCATAGGCTCTCCTTTCTTGAAAAGAACAAGGGTCTCCCCGCACCCTCCCGGATGATCCTTATGCTATTACAAATGAATATGCCCCAGTGTAAGCTTACAGGCCAACTCATATCATCCCAGCCAAACCGATATCGACACCCACAAACTTACGGTTTTGTAACATGAGCTGTCAAACGAAATCTGTGCGCGCGCTCTGGCGAAGTCTTACAAAACCATACATGTCCAACAAGTCCATCAGATGACACCACACAGGCCCCTCGCGCGCGCGTGCTAAAATCATTCGACGCGTTTTGCGCTCTTGCTGGGAGGGCGATATCCCTGTCAAATAATACCCTGCGCGTCACTCGCGCCCATCGGCCGCGCGCGCGTTGGAATCCGTCCAAAACCTACATCACCGATACGTGGACACCATCATCGGCATCGGCGTGACCAACATCGGCGCCGTCATCGGCCCTCCTGTCGTCAGCGTCACCATCGTCAACACCACCCTTACTATCATCATCGTGTCGGCCGTTGCCGACGTCGCCATGATACCGCACCCGCCTGAGTCACCGAATCGCACTAAAGCGCCCGCGCGTCTGCGCGGGCTGCGAGACGTGCTGGGAAGTCCCCCACGGTCAGCGCCACCGCGGCCGCGTCGTTCGCGCCAAACGAGCTGGCCACACTGCGCGCGAGCCCGCACGAGCTAGCGCGGCCGCAACGATGCGCCAGGCAGCGCCAAGCACTCATCGCAACTGCAGCCGCACTGGTTTGCAAACCGAGTTGCGGGTGAGTGGGTGGGATGATTGCACGAGCACTGGAGCTGACAATTTCAAGTTCGGCGGGGGGAATCGCACCACACAGACGTCACCACATAGCGTACACCGCATAGACAACACCAAATATATTGAACTGCGCAGGTTACACATACACCAAGCTCGCACCACATAGATTGCACCACTTAGATCCCCCTTTTCTGTTATACTCATACATATATACAAAAAACGACCCACCCCCCGGGATTATCCGTTCCCATTTTCGCATTGTTATTTACAAATGATTTTGCCGTATCGTCCATCCTAAATAGGAGCTCGTACCATCCCAACCAAGCCGGCATCCGCCCCCCACCCCGCCATCCTTTGCAAAAAACACTATGCGCGCGCACTCGTTTATCAAATATCATCCGTATTCACTAACCTCTTGCAAAAAATCTGGACAAGGTGCACACGCGCGCGCTGTCGCGCGCGCGTACCAAAATCCTTCAAAAACCTTCGGCGTCATAAAGATGTCAAAACCGAGCATCGGAAAACATCGATTACGTTACCGAGGAACCCCACACACTGATTTTTAATCTTATGCGTTTGCTTGTCATTATCATCTTTGCGCAATCCTGCGTTCTAAACCCTCGTCGCGAATCGTCGTCGTACTTGTCGCACTCGTCGTCGTACTTGTCGTACTCGTCGTCGTACTCGTTGCCGTTCTATCGTCTTACTCGTCATCGTACTCGTCGTCGTACCTCGCCATCGTACTCGTTCTCGCATTCGTCGTCGTGCTCGTCGCACTCGTCGTCGCACTCGTCGTCGTCCTACTCGTTGTGCTCGAAGTGCTCGTCGTACTCGTCGCCGCACTCGTGGTCATCGTCGTCGTCGTCGTCGTCCTCCTCCTCCTCCTCGCCCCACCCAATCCGCTCAACTCCTCCGCACTCTTCTCAATTCCTCCGCACTTCCTTCAACTCCTCCGCACCCCTCTCAACTCATCCTCTCACCTCCTTCTGTACTCATCTTTCTGCACTCCTCCGCACTCCTCTCAACTCCTCCTCCCAACTCCTCCACACTCGTTTCATGCACCTCGGCGCCCATCTCGAGCATTGATTTCTTGAGCTGCTCGCACGGCGGTGGCAGCGCGGCCATGGCGCATTTGGGCGCCATGACGGGGGCCGTACCTTTGACGGAAAGTCACTAGCAGTCGCCCGCGATCACATATCGCGCGGTCTGAGCCGACATGAGCCAGGGTGACTACAATTCTTGATGATGATAGTGCTGATGATGTTGATGATGATGATGATGGCGCCCCCCCCCTGCTTGCGCACCCCTGTGGCCTCAAGAACAAGTGACGCGCGCTACGCCCTGGTAGACTCCACCCCCTGTGCACCCCCCATGGTGTCGAGAAACTGCCACGCCTGCTATGCCTGGACGACTGCTATGCCTGGACGACTGGGGCGTATAGAGACCGCGGTGAGAGACCAGCCCCTGCGCACCCCTTGTCGAGACAGTCCCACGCATGCTGTGCCCGGGACGACATACGCGCATAGCGGTCGCGCTGAGGGACAACCCCCTACGGTGTCGAGGAAGTGCCACGCCTGCTGTGCCTGGACGACTGGGGCGTATACAGGCCGCGGTGAGTAACCACCCCCTGCGCACCCCCTATGGTGTCGAGAAAGTGCCACGCCTGCAGTGCCTGGACGACCGGGGCGTATAGAAACCGCGGTGAGAGACCACCCCCTGCGCACCCCCTACGGTGTCGAGAAAGTGCCACGCCTGCTGTGCCTGGACGACCGGGGCGTATAGAAACCGCGGTGAGAGACCACCCCCTGCGCACCCCCTACGGTGTCCAGAAAGTGCCACGCCTGCTGTGCCTGGACGACTGGGGCGTATAGAGACCGCGGTCAGAGACCAGCCCTTGCGCACCCCTTATGGTGTCGAGAAAGTGCCACGCCTGCTGTGCCTGGACGACTGGGGCGTATACAGGCCGCGGTGAGAGACCACCCCCTGCGCACGCCCTATGGTGTCGAGAAAGTGCCACGCCTGCAGTGCCTGGACGACCGGGGCGTATAGAGGCTGCGGTGAGAAACCACCCCTGCGCACCCCCTACGGTGTCGAGAAAGTGCCACGCCTGCTGTGCCTGGACGACCAGGGCGTATAGAAACCGCGGTGAGAGACCACCCCCTGCGCACCCCCTACGGTGTCCAGAAAGTGCCACGCCTGCTGTGCCTGGACGACTGGGGCGTATACAGGCCGCGGTGAGAGACCAGCCCTTGCGCACCCCTTATGGTGTCGAGAAAATGCCACGCCTGCTGTGCCTGGACGACCGGGGCGTATAGAGACCGCGGTGAGAAACCACCCCCTGCGCACCTCCCATTGTGTCGAGAAGGTGCCACGCCTGATGTGCCTGGACGACCGGGGCGTATAGAGGCCGCGGTGAGAAACCACCCCCTGCGCACCCCCTACGGCGTCAAGAAAGTCCGGGGCGTGTAGAGACCGCGGTGAGTAACCACCCCCTGCGCACCCCCTATGGTGTCAAGAATATGCCATGCCTGGTGTGCCCTGGAAGACTGGCGCGTATAGAGGCCGCGGTGAGAGACCAGCCCCTGCGCACCCCCTACGGTGTCGAGAAGGTGCCACGCCTGTTGTGCCTGGACGACTGGGGCGTATAGAGACCGCGGTGAGAGACCAGCCCTTGCGCACCCCTTATGGTGTCGAGAAAGTGCCAGGCCTGCTGTGCCTGGACGACCGGGGCGTATAGAAACCGCGGTGAGAGACC